AAATAGAATTTTTTCCCTGCATGCACAGTGTGCATGTTGAATTTGAAATTTACCTGCACTAATTTGTTGTGAAATGTACCACTTTTAAAGTTTTAATAAAATTTATGGGTTCTCGATAGATGTTATCACGAAAGAATTTGCTTTTTCTGAGTTATCTTACAATATTGGTTGAACTTAATTTAGGCTTAGTGAATATAATGAGAAAATGTTAATTTCTATATGCACAGCATGCACATTGTATTTTGAGTTTACTTGCACTAGCTAATAATCTATGTGCATAGTGCAGTGTGCACATTATATTTTGAGTTTACTTGCACTAGCTAATAATCTATGTGCATAGTACAGTGTGCACCAGAGTATTTCAACCCCTGTCTGAGTAATAAATACATCTATTATTGAATAGGAAATATATAAAGCTATATATTGTCTGTGTCTGTGTAGACTTGTTATGGAGTTTGAAGAAAGCAGTGTTGAAGTTAACAATCCAGGCTGCTATCCTTCTGTATGTGTAGAATTGGATATTGCTAGTTTAGCTGTGAATACATTATTACAGGTGTGTTATGCCAACATATTTATATTAACATCCTGAAACAACAACGTGTAGATTTAAATCTGTGTTCATCTATACATTCATGCATGCCTCTGCACATGTATGTGCATGAATCCAATTCAAAATGGCTATTTGGCAGCCATTTTAGTGTAAAAAAATGCATACAAATTATATAGAAATTTATGGGATCTTGATGGACATGAAAACAAGGACTTATAATTTCTTCTCTGTATGTACATGCTGATGTCCACACTTGTATCTCAGACATTGCTTGACCAATCAAATTTATTTTCACCTATATCTCAGACATGCCAGGGCCAATCACATTCAAGCTTCACGCATATATCATACATCTTCATGTGCTGAAATTTTCAGTGCTAAAATTTATTTTCGCCATTCCAGATCTTGGTCATGTATGCACACAACTCGCTAGATATATATTATGTGACTGTGATATGTGTCATTTTTGCTTTTCATGATAACAACAACTGGTACAAATACAATTGACTTCATTTTTACAGTCTCATCATATCAATGAAATGGAAGGTGGTGCTGGAAATATTGCTTTTGATGTCATTCCTCAAACGTCTTTAGAAGACATGGTAACTGGTGGCACCAATGCAGCAGCTCAGTTAGCCAGTTATGACGAAA